AAATCGTAAGTTTTCACAATATGTATTTACTAAATACGCATCCTGATTAACTCAATTCTGAAGTTCCACATCCTCCATATGATGCTGACAGTTCCTAACACTGTATCGTTTTTCAGGAGCACCTTTTCATGCTCGCAGAGTTTCCGCTGCCAGCAAAGTAAGCTAATCTTCATTTCAAATCGTTTGGATCATCTGGATAGGCACTTATGAACCATTTATTTTGTTTAGTATCATCTAGAAGTTCCCACTAGAGCACTAAGAGACATGGTCCTAATATAACATACTTTACCAATTTTAATTGAGAATCAATTGCTACCTTCCATGTCACTAGTTCTCCAAAAGTAAACATAGAAGTGAAACTGTGGAAAGTCTCTTACATGATTGTTGAGTCATTGTGAGCTGGGAGTAAAAGTTAAGCTACTATTATGGCTTAAATGGTTGTCCGAGAAACTACAAGTGTATTCAATGAACCAAGAAATAGTTGCTTCTCTTAGGCTTCCGTCGTGCTCTTTCATGCCTCTGCTATATTTCTATTTGATTTTGTTGTTATTTTGGTTGCTTCCTCCAGGCTGGTCCTCTTTAAATATAAATTGTGGTGGAAAAGGAGAAAAAATTGGTGACACAAACTACGATGATGATACACAACCTGGAGGGCCATCAAAGTTGTACCAGAGTGGAACAAATTGGGCATTCAGTTCCACTGGTCACTTTGCCGATGATAATCACAACTTGGACTCGTATATTAAGAGTAGTGATTCTGGAATTTTGGGGAATGAAATGCAATTATACTCAGATGCTCGACTATCTCCTCTTTCATTGACGTATTATGGGTTCTGTCTGGTAAATGGAAACTACACAGTGAAACTTCACTTTGCTGAAATTATGTTTACTGATGACAGAACATATAGCAGCCTTGGAAGGCGCGTATTTGATATATACATGCAGGTATTCATTGGCTTCATGGTACTGTCTGCAATGAAGTTTCAAATTTTCAAGAGAAAGTAACTGAAGAAGAGATGATGAAATCATAAGCAACATCTTGTTATTTCATGCAAATTTGAGTACGCACATTTATTGGGAATTGGTTGATATTTTTCTAGGGAAAATTGATCCAGAAAGATTTCAATATTGAGAATGCAGCAGGTGGAGTCAATAAGCCTGTAGTTCTAAATTTTACTGCTGTAGTAACTGACAGTACTTTGGAGATTCGCTTCTACTGGGCTGGAAAAGGAACCACGGATATTCCCCGTAAAGGAGTGTATGGTCCTCTGATTTCTGGAATTTCTGTGGATCCTGGTAAGCTTCAAAATTGCTAAAGCTTCTAAATTGAAAACTCAAAAATTGCAAGAGAATCTTTATTTCTTTTCACTGATTAACGAGTGTTTCATAAATGTTGTTTCTGAACTTTCAACATGCATTAATGTATCGTGGAGAAGAATAGAATAAGTTATCATTTCATCCAAACAAACTGATTTGAAAATGTCACCTCCCCTAATACTTGGCATAATGTTTAACCTCCTCATTTCAACTTCTTATTCTTCATTTCATTCTTCTTTTCCCCATTCAGATTTTCCAGTACCTTCAGACCATGGCTTGTCAGTAGGCGCCATAGTTGGGATTGTACTCGCAGTTTTGGTTATCATATCTGTGGCTCTAGCCATTCTTTGGTGGAAATTTGGTCCGCAACTCCGTCAAACACTGCAGCTAGGTAACTTAATTTCTTGTTCAAGCAGCATATTGGACGTGCAATCTCAAAACTGGATAACATGTTACCCTTTGGTAAAAATTTCTGGCATTAGCATCTTGGTCCTTGTGTGAAGAATAGCTATTTTAGCAGATAAGTTACTTCATGAGTCCGTGAATTTTTCCAGCAGTTCTACTTGAATTTTAAATTTCTTCATTTCGATCCTTTGAAAAACTTCCATGCAGTCACTAGATATACCACGAGCTTTTGAATGCTAGAAGCTTATAGTGACCGGCAGTTAAAACAAAATTTGTGTGCCAAATTTCAAATGTGCAGAGAATTTCCTCTAACTCATGTTAGCTTTTTTGGCAGATTTTAAAGGTCTAGACCTGCAAACAGCATCTTTCGCCCTGAGACAAATCAAGTACGCAACAAACAATTTTGATTCTGCCAATATAATTGGAAAAGGTGGCTTTGGTTCTGTCTACAAGGTAACTCAAACCATGGCATACTTCCCAAATTCCTCATGTAGAGAAACTCGTGCTCAAGTGCATTACGGACATCTGACATTACATTTGTTATGACATCGCATCTTAATTGAAGGGAATTCTGCCTGACGGCACCGTCATTGCAGTGAAGCAGCTTTCTTCCAAATCAAACCAAGGAAACCGCGAATTTTTGAATGAAATAGGCATGATTTCTGCTCTACAGCACCCTAATCTCGTAAAGCTCTATGGATGCTGCATTGAGGGAAACCAACTGTTGGTTGTATACGAGTACATGGAAAATAACAGCCTCGCTCGTGCATTGTTTGGTAAAGTTGCATGTTTTTTTGTAGGTGCTTTTGTTATCATACCTTCAAAACCAAATACACGCATGCAAATGCAAGTAACATGATTTTTTAATAATCTTCACACGCCTGATAATTTTCAGGTCCTGAAGAGCACCAGTTGGAATTAGATTGGCCAACAAGGCGCAAGATCTGTCTTGGTATAGCCAGAGGCTTGGCTTTTCTCCATGAAGAATCGAGATTGAAGATTGTCCATAGAGACATCAAAGCCACCAATGTGCTACTTGATAAGGAGCTAAATCCCAAGATATCTGACTTTGGCCTGGCGAGACTTCATGAAGAAGATGACACCCATATAAGTACTCGTGTTGCTGGAACCTTGTGAGTGCAAGCATGGCATTCTCTTGTTGGGAGGGGGGGAGGGGTTTAGAATGGTTGGAGTTCCATTGGAGGCCCAGATAGATATGAATCTGTTTACCATTTGATTTTTTTATTCTTTTTTTGGGAGACCATGGCCTTGATTTGAGCTGCTGATGTTGAATTGGTTATTTTTCAGTGGATATATGGCACCTGAATATGCAATGAGAGGCTACTTAACTGACAAAGCGGATGTCTATAGCTTCGGAGTTGTTCTTCTGGAAATTGTCAGCGGAAAGAGCAACACTGGTTTCAAACCAAAGGAGGAGGAGGAATGCTTCAATCTTCTCGACTGGGTAACGTCATTTTCTTTCCCTCTTGATTAGCCTGTTGCTTAAAATTACTTGGTTTAAGAATTCTTCAGCCTTGTGCATTTAGTCAATAGTAGCTCAGAATTCCATTCTTGAAAAACTCTAGTGCCTTTTGTTGGTTTACTCGAGTATGTAGTGTACAACAAAAGTTAGAACTGAAAACTCCTCCTCAAGAACATCTGAAATGAATATGCTTTGATGCCTTTGTGTGCTATTTTGACGCATCAGAAAAATTAAGCTATTCAGACAGCTCTCTCATGTCTTATCATATAAACTTGCAAAGGCATGGCAATTTCCTCTTCAAATCAAAGGCAATACTTTTGTGCTCATTTTCTAGCATGTTCATTCTTTCGTGTAGGCTCATCTCTTGAAGGAGGAAATGAAGCTGATGGAGCTAGTTGATTCCAGATTGGGAACAGACATCAACGACCGTGAGATTATAGTGACAATTGAAATAGCCCTGCTTTGCACCAGCGTCTCACCGGCTGCTAGGCCTAGTATGTCGACAGTGGTGAGCATGATGGAGGGGAGGGTAAAGGATCAAAAGTTGATTCCAGACTCGAGTGTTTTGGGTGCAAAGGTGAAGGAAATCAGTGATGAGCACTACCTACTAACAACCTTCAATGAGAGCCAGCTGCAGAGCACGTCAAGTGACCGGCCACTTACTGCATCTCCAGCATCTGCGCCATTTACTGCGTCTTCAGCATCTGCGCCATTTACTGCGTCTTCAACATCTGCTTCTGATTTATACCCGATCAATCCAAAGAGTGATTTTCTGGACAACAGGTTATAAACTTACACGAGGAAATTGTCATCTCTGACTATCGAAACATCTTGTTATTATTCTTTATATTGCTTCCCATTCTTGTGGAAATATTATCCGTAGAGTTTGCAGTAGTGCATATGTTTAGCGGGAACAGTTAGTTGCAGATTTTGTAATATTGCATGTAATTGTCTTTAATTCTAGATTTTACATTTACAGTTCATCAATTAGTAAAATTGTAGTTTGTATCCATTACTGAAAGCTAGAATTTTGTACTATCAACTATCAAAATTCTCCTTTATCCCACAAACCTGACAAAAGGTGTGGGATAAAGAAGTTTACGCTGAATGGTTTATTCTTAATGTAGTTATAGCCACATTCAAAGGAAAATGGATTAGAATCTGATTCCGTTTTTAGGCAGGAAGAGAGTCCAAGCCTGGTGTTGACAAGATTTATTCCAAATCTGTTATGATTCTGGAAATAAATATCAAATTTTGGGATACCTCGCTCTTATGGCAATGATATGAATTTCTAACCCTTGACACTGAAATTTTCTGCAAGAGCATGGGCGCATGTATTTATTTACCACTTTACATATAAAAAAGCACGGAATTATCTTCTTTAAGCTACTTCTATAGATGACGTCTCTCAGTCTCTATCTTTCTGCTTTATAACTTTCCTTTTCTTTATATATATGTATAAATATATGCTGCACAATGCCACAATCTCGATCCTTACATTCAACTACTGAATCCATGTGTCAGCAAAAAATTGGAAACAGGAGCAAAAAAGGGAAGTGAACTTTGTTTCCTTTCTTCTTAATTGAATACGTTATCATCCTATGCTGAGAAGGAAAATGAATAACGAGTACTCGAAATGTGTCCACACTTCAAATGAAAGATTTTCTCTTTATTTGGCAATGAAGACTTTATGTGGTGAACAATTAGTTGCAAACGGCATAGACACATAAATACTTGCAAACACACATATATAGCAGGCGAGACAAAATTTTCTGAGTTTGGTTTCCTCTATAGCATGATGTTGCTTATCTATTTTCTTCTCTTTCTTGCTTTTCATGTCCTCGAAGCCCATGCAGCAAACTGCAACTTTTTCAGTGATGGATGTTGGGTTTTTGATTCATCCTACCCACTCTACGATTCATCTGCATGTCCCTTCATACAGCGTGAGTTTGACTGCCAGAGAAATGGCCGGCCGGACCAGAAGTACCTCAGTTACCGGTGGCAACCTCAGGGCTGCCGGTTGGCAAGGTATACATATATGTTTGTACATGCATGGATCATAAATTAGTCCCAGCGACAAGAGAAATAGAGAATTAGGAGCTCATGAGGATACTAGCTATAATATTTCTCATTCTGGTGAGACATGATGACAATGGACTAATGCATGAATAATAGTATATTATTGGATTTTTCAAATCTCAATTAGGAAGTAGATAACACTTTTTCATGAAACTGTGATGTTCCAATTCAATTCCAAGAATTTGGCTTAAAATCTACAAGACCATATTCACTATTGTTATGTGTCAAATTGCTATCTTCATATATGCTTTTGCGTGTTGACCTAATCAATTGGATAATTAAGACTTCTTCATAACATCATGTGATTAATTTTTTTTTTTCCCGAACAAAACCCTTTTGTTTATTTAGTACATAATCATACATTCGTAATTGAAATTTCTAACCGAATACATAAGATAACCACGGTGGAATGGAACATGTTTTTTCAAGTGCAGATTCGATGGCGGTGATTTCTTGCAGAAATTTAGGGGAAAAAGTATCATGATCGTAGGCGATTCTTTATCCCGAGATTTGTATCAATCAATTCTATGTTTGCTATACTCATCAGTGCCCGGGATAAAGTATAATCGAAACAGAGTTGGCTCCATTTCCACCGTCACATTTTTGGTATAGTTAATCCGTCATATATTAAAAAAGTGTTTCAAAAAAATAAATAAACTTCTAAACTTCCCTGGATGCTAATTTTTTTTCCAATGACATTATTAGGACTTCGGAGTAAAAGTGAAGTACGATTTGAATCCATTTTTGGTGGATTTGATAGCCACAGAGAATGGTACGTTGTTGATACTAGACTCAGTGGCTGAGAAAGCAAATCTATGGAGACAGAATGATGTGCTCATCTTCAACACCTACCAATGGTGGTTTTACAGGGGAACCAAACAACCGTTAGTAGTCTGATTCTCTACCATCTCAATTGCACCTCTTTGATCACTCCATCTCTGAGAAGCTTTATGCATCTTAACTGGGTGAATTTTATAATTTCATTTTTAGGTGGCAATTTGTTAAAGTGGGAGACAAGATATTGAAAGACATCGACCGAAATATTGCCCTCAAGAGGGCACTTGGTACATGGGGTCAGTGGGTAGACAGCGACATGGATCCTGCTAAGACCAGGCTGTTCTTTCAACCGGTTTCTCCATCACATTACGAGTGAGTACCTTACTATAGTTATAGCTTATTATAACTTTTTCTACATAATTCTGTTGCATCCAAAATTTCAACTATTATGTTCCGTAAATGTTAATTATCAATTTGTTTTTTTTTTGGGACTATCTAAATCTACGCTGCTACAGTCTAAATCCACAGCCCTAATACATTAATGACCTCTACCATGAGCATTGATAACTTGTATCGTATGTATTAAAAGTTGCATTTAAGATGGAGGGGTGCGGATTTAGTCCCTCCCCTTTTTTTTCAATTCAGGATTGGGCGCGATTTCAACTAGACCATGTTGCTGGTGGCTATTCATATTAGGCCATATTAATCTGTATTTGCGATTATGTTACAAAAATTCTACCTTTGAGAATGTCTTCGTGAATTTTTTTTGTGGGCTTATTTTGGCAACAAACAGTGGCAGGGATTGGAACCAACCCGAAGCGAGGAACTGTGCAGACCAAACGGAGCCAGTGCTAGGCTCTGTATATCCAGGAAGGTTGCCGCCAGCTTTAGGGTTGCAGAAGGAGGCATTGAGCTTAATCAAGAAGCCCGTGACATTGTTGGATATAACACATCTTTCGCAGTTTCGCAAAGATGGACATCCTTCCGTTTATGGGCAGGATGGAAGGAGTGGAATGGATTGCTTGCATTGGTGCGTAGGGGGTGTTCCTGATATTTGGAATGAAATCTTGTACAATCTTCTGTTCATCCCATGATTAGTTAATTCATTCGGGAAAAAAAATTACATCAAATTCTAAATGATATAAAATTCGGGCCATGAACCATTGAGAGAATCTGGAGCAGCGACCATATTTTATTGTCAAAACCATCAATGATGCAACTAATTATGAGCGTTAAATAGAAATAAACCAATTAATTTGTGTCAAATAAATGCTATGAGTGGATTTCTCAAAATACTAGTTGGGATATCAGAATGGTTTTTCAAATTCCAAAAGTCTTTCCTTGCCAAAATGATTCGTACGTGTATATTTGGTTGAGTTGTTGTATGCAGGTTCAGCGATAGAAATAAGTTTTATGCAAATGCTGCAACTAGCAAATTAATTGGTAAGTAGAAATTGATTGATTTGGTTGCTCAGTACGAGCATTTTTTAGCAAAAAGGTGCATTATGAATTTTGTGAAAAAGTAAAATATTTTATTTTAGATGTGACGAATAAAATTTACCATTGGTAAATATATGAAGGACAATTGGTGTAATTTTCTATTGTGAATAATTGAAAGTTCATTGAATATACAGTGTTGGTCGAGTTTAGCTTGACTAATCAAATTCGAACGAACTGTCACCAACTTAAACTTGATTTGAGTGCCAACTAATTTAGTTCACCTTTCAATCCTAATTGAGCATAAAGATTGTGAGTTTTAATGAGCTAAACTCAGGTCATTTGACTCGAACCAAACTTGAAAGTTCATCGACTATAAAGTGTTATTCAAGTTTAATTTGGTTAGCTAGTGAATCAAGTTCGAACAATTTCTTATTAAACTGAATTCAATTCGAGTATCATATAGTTTGATTTATGTTTCAGTCCTAATTTAGTATAAAGATTGTGAGTTTTAAAGAGCTAAGCTCCGATCAAACATCTAAAAACTCAAATAGACGGAGCTCGTGTTGGACAAAGCTTGGCTTAAAAAGCCCAATAAACATTCCCAGATATATTTTCCTAACTAATTAATTACTACAACTTCATCACAAATATATTCTTCTTATTTGGTAGTGAACTATTCATCTGTTGAACAGTTAGGTTCCGTTTGATAAAACTGAATCTGAATTCTAAAATCTGAATACTGAAACAATTAATTTGCTGAATTTTAAACACTGAAAAGAAATATATGAATGTCTGAATTTTAATGCTAAACCTATTTATACTGTTTGATGCTTAATAAGTTAAATTTGACAATTTTGCCCTTATATCTTTTCATCCAAAAAAGAAATAGAACCTATGATTTAATTAGCTAAAAATGTTAGGTATGAAAATGACAATATTTATTTTTAAATCAAATTAATATAAAAGATGAATTATATTATACGAGGAGTATGGAGAAGAAGTGAAAGTCATTCAAAAGGGAGAAATGAGAAATAGAAAATCATTAGATAGAGAATATTAAGTTGTTTAATTATACAAGAATTTTGAATATAATTAATAAACAATGATAGATTTGGTAGATAAGATAAGGTAGTTGAAGTAATTCTATTGATTCTTATCAGAATTAAGCATTCAGTTAGGATTCTTGTGCTGAAAAAAATACACACAAGTTCAGCACTACTTAACAAGTTCAGCAAATGGATTTTCATTTATCAAACACTCAAAACATTTGAATGTCTGAAAAAGTTCAGATTTAGCACTTTTTTATATTATCAAACAGACCCTTAATCGCAAATGCCGTATCCACATACGCAAGTTAAGTTGGTTCCGTCTCAAGGGTGATGCTGCTCATTTCCTTTCTTCCATTTTTTCTTGAGCATCACTTTTTCGCAGGCCACGCACCAAACTGCAGTTTGTTCCATCGAAGTCCGGAAAAAATGGAACGAATTCTTGTGTTGTGTGTAGCGGGTTCCTGGTAATTGGAATGAAATCGTGCACAATTTTCTTTTTAGCCCCGAATTTCGTTCGGATATTCATTTGCTCCGCATTTTGTTTTGATTTTTCAGTTATTTTTTATCTTGGATATATATGATACTCCCCCTCCCACGTCCATTAATATAGTAACTGCCTATGATAGATACAACAATGTACTCTTTAATAAATTAGAGCATCAATTATCATATCCAGGTGATCAAATAAATGAACAGATACACCCTTTTAATTTCTTCTCTAAATTGCCTCAAAACCCATAACATTACCGACATAAATATGGATTGCTAGAAAAGTGTCGAGGCTGCATTAAATAATGGCCTTTATTTTGTTTGGAAAGTATTTAATATCTTTGACACAAGTCTCCTAACATAAGAAATGTAAAACAATTAAAAACCCAAAAGAAAATAAAACAAACAAATCCACGTTATCCACGACTAGAGATATAGAAACAAAAGCCAATATAGATAGGAGAAAGAGAGGGATTAATTGTTAGTTTCAACCATCATGAAACTTGTAATTTTGTATCTCCTCCTCCATCTTCTTCACATATACCAAGTCACAAGTGCAGAATACTGCAACTTCTTCAATGGAAGTTGGGTGTTTGATTCATCATACCCACACTACAACTCAACTACATGTCCCTTTATAGAGCATGTATTCAACTGCCAAAGAAATGGCCGACCGGATGAGATGTACCTCAAATACCGGTGGCAACCGCAAGAGTGTCAATTACAAAGGTACGAGTTTTCTCATTTCTGGGCATCATCAATTCATTCATTGGAGCGTATTGGTTCCTAACACTTTTGGATGATTGGAATGATTTTAACATTGCAATGCATGCATGATCGCATATGAAAGTACAATTGTAGTATTAATCGTAGACACTTGTATCCGTATGATGAGTTCTCATTGCAAGAACATGGAATTGATAGAATATTTCGATTGTTCTTACAGTGCTTAATTAGCAACAATGTAGATGCTGATTCTAATACTACCGGCAATAAAGCCAAAATGGCACCTAAAAAGAAAACTTTTTTGGGTCGCGGCTACATGGACAACTAAGAAATTTTAATCTCGAGCGAGGGAATTTGTTGTATAGAGTTTTTTATTTTGGAAGCTGAATTAGTGCATCCAGAAACCATATTACTGGTTCTTGAAAAAATGAGGTAGTATCAGAAGCTGTTGCATCTGTGATCTAACTGACAAGTTAGTATTGGAAGTGTGCTTGAATGTTCCTTTTCCTCCCCTTTTCAATTGGGATTTGCTGATGTCTTTTGAGTAACTAAGAATATGATTTTTCCGTAAAATTTTGAGCTAAAAGACCAGAATGTTCTTAGGGAAAAAAAATCAAATTTTCGTTCTTTAACGTTGGGGTGATTGAGGAAACCTACTCCGAAAAAAGACAATTCTATTCATGGGGAGTAAATACTGCCACACCCAAGCACAGTAAGATTTGTTTGTTAAGGAATTCAACCCTTGGACGACATGTAGCAAATTGTTCCACTGTGATTAATTTATTTAACTCGTGTCCTTTCCATTGTCTGATTTTCTGGGCAACTTGTTAGGAATGATATCTTAACTCTAATCAGCAATCTTGTCAATCAAAGAATACATTTTTTTTTTGGAAATTTTCAACCGGAAAAATATTTTAGTCGTGGTCCAAAATGTGAAATTAATTTGATGCACTGCAGATTCTGTGGCTTGGACTTCTTGCTAAGATTCAAAGGGAAGAGCATCATGTTTGTGGGTGATTCTTTATCACGGAATCAATACCAGTCGTTATTATGCTTGTTGTACACATCAATGCCCGGAATCAAGTACAAAGAGATGAGATCAGGCGACATCTCCGTAGTACATTTCTTGGTAAGTAAGCTTATCCTGTAGCACAACTTGAGCTCAGATTACTCGTTTATTTGTTGAATTAAATTATGAATAGAGAAATCAAACTCAGCACAAATTTTGGAAAAAAAAATGGGAAAAAATTCAAGTTTATAAAATGATCAAGATAAGTCTATGAAATTAATTGTTCAACATTGCGTTAAACTCCAATTGATTAAGTTCTTCAAAGAAACGTTCAGAGCAATGTTATCAAAATCGCGAATCGAATCATAGGATCGTACAATTTGAAATTTTCTTTTCCCATTCTCGCAAATCCTCCTTTCTACCATCTGCTAAATTTCGGAACGAAGAACTTCTTCTGCCCATCAATTATCTTAACCTTTGCAGGATTATGAAGTTCAAGTAAAGCTTGATAGAAATCTGTTTTTGGTGGATGTGGCACGAGACAAGGACAAGATTGGTAGGGTATTAGTATTAGACTCAGTTGCCGGGAAAGCCCGTCATTGGCTGGTAAATGACGTGCTCGTCTTCAACACATTTGCTTGGTGGGGAAGAAGAGGATCTATGCAACCGTTAGTAGTGAAATCCCGTCGATCTGTTAAATCTACGCATAACGCTTCTTAGCTTGAGCAAAATTAAATATTGTTTTCAACATTAATTGAACAGACTTTGATGTGTAATCGCAGATGGGATTTCATTAAACTCGGAGATAAGATAATGAAAGACATGGACCGGCTAGCTGCTTTGGAGACGGGACTCACGACATGGGCTAGATGGGTGGATGCAGCTGTTAATCCTAATAAAACAAGGGTTTTCTTTCAAACCACCTCTCCAGCGCATTACAAGTGAGTTTCCTAAAAGAAATCACTATATCTTTCTTTCTTTTTTTTTTGGGTAAGATGATCAATGTATAATATATCCACAACACATCACACGTCAAATTTTATTCTTGGTGTCAAATTTATACCATAAACGAATGGGGGTTTTTTTTGTTAATCTGAATTACAAGTTTGATTATAGTTAGACTATCCCCGTCCTTGGTCTCATTTCTATCTTGTAATCATCCGTCAAAGCAGTGGCAGCGAATGGGATGAACCTCACACCAGAAACTGCGGTAGGGAGACGAAACCGGTCCTTGGTTCGATATACCATGGAAATTTGCCGTGGGGTTTAGGCATACAGAAGAAAATATTAAGCAAGATCAAGAACCCTGCCTTCAAATTATTTGATATAACACACCTCTCGCAATTTCGCAAAGATGCACATCCATCTGCTTATGGCGAGTTTGGAAGAACTGGAATGGACTGCTTGCATTGGTGTGTAGCCGGAGTCACTGATACCTGGAATGAGATTCTGTACAATATTTTTCTCTAGAATGATTCATGTTATAGCAAGATAACTAATTGCCTTTAAATTTTGGACCTAATAAACTTATTTCTCTAGAATGATTCAATCAGTTGTTTGACAGGTGGCTGAATGATACCCAAACTTTGAAGTCATCTTTAATTAGCTACAGATAAAAGATAATCCTTCCCCGGTCCTCATTCGTAGTTGAATTCATTACTGTGATGAGGACATTAGGAAATTTAGTTAGAGTTGTTATGTCTAACATTAACTAGAAAACATGTCATATGATTGCATGCATCGAAATCTGGCAAACTGATCAATAATGTAGTTTTTAGAGTAAGTAATGCACCTAATGTTGATTGGGTGTATTTTGCACCTAATGTCTTGAATTAAAAAAAGTTGGTTTCTAAAATTTATCATCAAACACCTTTTTGAAGCTCGAAGAATATTCTGCTTAAATTCAAACGGTGAATGCATATACAGGAAACAGGCTTTTATGATCATGTCGGAATATCTTGCCGGCCTTAAGTCATCTGCTCGATGGTTGCCGAGAACCCAATGAATTTGCTGATATTATTTGTTTGGGAAGGATTTTCTTTGTATTCGTATTAATCTAATTAAGTAACCAGATTTTCAACGATCCCTAGAGTAGAACGAGAATGAATATCTAATGGTTTTGGTAACAAAAATAAATAAATATTCGATATTCATGTATCAGAGAAACAAGAAAGGATGTACGCCAGATTGTTGTTTTTCTTTACTTTTTGGGAGGATAATCTTAGTCCTTGGTAGACATAAATTGAGTCAAAATTCTAACATTTATTAATCAAATACGAAAACAGAGTCGGTGACTCTGTTTGGATCCCTCTGTTTTTCAAAAATTAGTTTTTCAAATACTTTTTAAAAAGTACTCTAAAAAGTAGTCTAAATTTTTTTTAATGTTTAAAAAATATCCCAATATATATTTTAAAAACTCTACTACTCTTGAATATTCCAAAATATTTTTTAAAAATATCCCAAAATATACTCTAAGAATTCTGCTACAGTAACATTTTTCAAAAATACCCCCAAAAACAGCTAATTTTTCTGAGCATTTGCTCTTAGGATGGCCGATGATTAGATGCCTAATAATGAAGAATTTTTCTAATGTGTACCTAATTATGCATTCATTGTCACACTTAAATTACGCATAACTTACTATATTAACACATGCAATCATAATTAATGCACTCTCCTGCATTTAGACTTTTTTTGAATTAATTATACTTTTCTAAAAAAAAAAATATAATTACTAATAGTATTCACTAGACATTCGTTAGTCAAACTGAACGAAAGACCAATCACTTCACCGAAAATGTTCATCTGGGTTCTCTTTCTATTGCTCAAATTATGTACAATTAGTTTTGATTAGTTTACGTAAAACAAAAAATGGCTACTAGTAAGTTCAAGAAATACGTGATAGAATCCTTTTCCCCCAAAAAAAAAAAAAAAGTGATAGAACTTTCATTCTATATCCTTTTCCTTTAATAGTTCTTTTTTTGGGGTGTTTGCTTTCATATTAAATACTTGGATGTTACATCCGCTGCAATCATTAACAGTTTAGTAGCAACAGCAGAAATTGGCATGAAGTAATTGACGTTTGACATGCTTCCAAGAACTACCACTATCTGATCTGCCGCTTCCGACTGTCTATTTGCTAACAATAGCTTCCTTAGTCTTTTACCTGTGTACCTACCTGCATGGGAGAGAGGGAGTTAGTCATGCATTTTATTATTTTTATGCAATCAAATTTTTTTTGAATTATCCTCGTCAACAAAGACCGAAAAAAAAAAAAAAAAGAGAGAATATAATACGAGTTAAAACAATAAATTTGATTTAAACCTGGTTTTAGCTTTACCATATTGTGATTTTAACCTGGTTTGTCATCAAAACAATGAATGGCATAAAAAAAAAAAAGTTCAAATGCTTCTATTAACAAATCTGTTGCCTACATAGGATTTATCATTGTCCGCTGTTGATTAACATAGTAATTAACTGGCTTCCTAAAATGCCTCCAAGAAACTGAAGAATCCAGGTGGACCCTTAATATGATTCCCACCTCCCTCTAATCTCAGCCCCATCCCCTCCCGCGGTATTTGTTGCCAACCAGGTATATATATATATATATATATATATATACGTGAGGAAAATAGATAACATGAAAACCAGAAGGAAAGGAAAGAGGCTCGATCGAGGCCATTCCTTAAACGTTTCTCTCTTGACCAACCGCCAAGAATTCTTGCCTTTTCTCCCCCTCAGAGAGAGTAATTAAATTGTGGGTTCGCTCCATTCTTTAGCATGTTTTTCATCGTTTCTCTTCTTTTTCTTCCTCATCTTCTCCGAGCAAATGCAGAAAACTGCGACTTCTTCCAAGGAAGTTGGGTTTTCGATGAATCATATCCTATGTACAACTCCTCCATTTGTCCCTTCATAGAGAAAGAATTCAACTGCCTGAACAATGGCCGGCCGGACCACCTCTACCTCAAATACCGGTGGCAACCTCAAGGCTGCGATTTAGCAAAGTATGTATCTTGTCCTTTACTGTGATTGGCTCATCCAATTTGTCCGCATTAACCTGATAATGAACCATGAACAGCAGTAGCTTTATTTAAATTCAGGTGATGCATACAACTATAGTATTATATGCATATGTACTAAATCAATGAGAAACTATGGATAATGAACTTTGATAAAGTAGGCCAATTCCCACACACTAATCTTATTACAAAACTTTTTCACCTTGCGTATGTAAATCATTTTCGAATTCTTATAATGAATCCAAATGGGGCCTGAATTGTCTTTTCAAGGACAGTAATAAATTGCTAAATAATTTAGTAAATTCACTTGCTTTATTTGGGAATGTTTTTACATTAAGTGAATAATCTTTTATTGCATAAGCCGTGTCGGATTAATGATTGAATGCCATACGTAACTAATTATCTCCAGGTTATAAGTATTGACTCGTCATTGCACTTGGCTTTGTCATATTAAAGCTAGTTGTGGCGGTTGCTTGAGCATTTTTCTTTTTTCTTTTTTCTTCTTTTGGAGCTAAATTCTTTGTTTGTGGAACTTATCCTAAAATGTGAATCGAGGGGAAAAGGAATAGAAAATGAAATTCTTAGGGAAGATGAATTTCTCCTTTTGGATGTCTCAGCTTCAAAGATTGGCAAAAAAGCTACTTGGAGAAATGACCATGTGATGGTTGGAAACTTGATGGAAAGGCTCCCATTTGAGTAAAGCTATATACCTAATCAAGAACAATTAACTCACTTCAAGCGAGATTAAGAGGGGTAGCTGAAACCATAACCAACCTTAATTAATCATGTAAATAAGATACAAACTTCATTGTAATTTGCGGGACATAAGATTCCCAGACAAGGAATCTAAGATCCATATATACCAATGATTGCCACTATATATACCGTACCAAAAACAAAGATTGCTGCTTTATTTTCTCAAAGAAGTTCACTAATGACTAAACTACATGAATCCAAAACAATAAAAATTCGTGCACTGTTCGGAATCGAAGCTGTTCTGTGAAAAAAAGAAAAGAAAAGAAACGAAAATTAGATAAAGCTGTTCGTTGCTCAGAAGCCTACACACCTTAAAGACTTGGTTTTCTTTTTCTTTTATAATTTTTTTTTTTTGGTAAAGAACACCTTAAAGATTTGGTGGTATTGTCATTTGTTGCTTCATCATTTTTCTCTACAGTCTGACTCAACCATTTAAATGTTATTATGTTAATTAACTAACTTATTAACATATTCGATTGCCCATAATCCCTTTTCTCTCCTCGAGTGATTACCAGGGTATTTACTCCATCAACTCTTTATAATCTGCTACTCGAAAAATACTAAAACCCCAATGTGTGAAAGCGTTGCTGGTCTCATGCAGATTTGACGGCCGTGCATTCTTGCAAAAGTTCAGGGGAAAGAGCATTTTGTTTGCAGGCGATTCTCTGACCCGTGATCAGTATATGTCCCTGGCCTGCTTGCTCTACACTAGCGTGCCGGGGACAAATTACAACATGACAAGAGTAGGCCTAATCTCCACCTTGAAATTCTTGGTAAGCTTAATCTCTTGGCCTGCAGTCCGCAAATGAATGTCATTATCCACTAATATAAACAAATGAATACATGATTGAAAATCTGAATTGAAAAGTTTTGAAGTGTGGACCTCTAATTCTCCAACTAGTGGATAATGATTGGGAAAACAAAGATACAAGCAAGAAGCGTGTAACAACGAATCAACCAACCAAGTTGGCAAGTTGCTTCAAGCCAACTTTGTCCTGGTTAGGCGAAAATTGTTAAGGTGGTCCTCCTGCAGTCCCTTTCTTTTACTAGTGCAATCCTGCATCTGAAACTTTAGGCAGATTTTTCACCTAGCAAAAACTTTGATCTCTATTCTATGCTGAACAACCTGTAGCTAGCTTCGTGAAAATCAACAATGATAATGATCCCTTATCTAACATGATGGTCCAACAATAATTCAATCATCGTTGACATAATTTTATCGGATTTGACGACCAGTTTTAGATCGAATTGAAACTAACCAGACCTTAACCAGTTTTAGATCACCTGAACTGTACTAAAAAATTCAATCCAACTTCAGAAAGTACCTGTTCCTGCAACAACTTGAACTACTAATTCTGCCGCATCAATTATAATTTTCAATTGTATGTTGTCACAGGACTATGGACTCACACTGATCCTTGATAGAAATGCCTTTCTGGTGGATCTGGTGCCAGAAAAGATCGGTGTAGTTCTAAAACTAGATTCAGTTGCAGGAAGTGAAAAGCTATGGTCAGGTCATGACCTGCTTGCCTTCAATACATGGCATTGGTGGGGCTACAAAGGAGCTCAACAACCGTTAGTTCATGTCCCAACAATTTTGATAATCTTTCTTTCCATACTGTATTTGCGAGCCAAGCTCAAGAATTCTTCAAGCAATTGAATTCTTGAATAACTGTTGAATGTGCAGGTGGAAATATATTCAGATAGGAACAAGGCTCTTGAAAGACATGGACCGGATGGTGGCTTTTGAGACCGCACTTGAGACATGGGCTAAATGGGTGGACACAAATGTAGATCCTGCTAAAACCACCGTTTTCTTTCTTGGAGTTTCTCCATCCCATTACAAGTAAGTGCTCCAAAATATCACTTCTCATTTTCGAGATGAATTATGGAGTATCGTAAAAAACATCCTTCGCTTGCGGGGGCCCCAACCAAAACAAAATGTCTTCTTTGTTGACATGATTAGATAATGCCTTTTAGTCACTGAATTATCTTAGATTTAATTCTCATGTCAAAAACCTATCCAACTACCTACTGCTTAAACAACTTTCATGCAGACATATATCAACAAAGACAGTTGAAAAATTGAAAGGCGGTTCTTGTTTCTTCTTTAACTAGTTTTGTACCCATTCGTTGAATGGGAGTTGTTTAAAAATAATAAATTATTTAGTGTAGTTCATAAAAATATTTGCATAACATTCAAACTTATTGTATGATCTATTATAACCTTTCTTAAATATATTACTATGTGCACATTGTTATTCAAAAATAGTCTTATAATGTAAATTTAAACATCTATTTCAGTGATTAATAATTCAAAAATGCAAAAAAAAAAAAAACATTCGATGATATGATAACATTTAAAAACTTGAAAATAGGCAAGATCAAATCTTGGCTGATCTTCTGTAAACAAAAGAATGGCCAACCCGTTACCAAAACATCAATTTTGGTACTTAATATAAATGGCTTAAAGGTTAATGTGAAAAGAAAAGAAGCCGAATGAAGTATTAATAAAAGATCAGAATTTAGAATCAATCAAGTCATAGGAACACAGTAACCTTCTAAATCTGTTCACAGCTAATAGAAGCAAAATGAAAACATAAGATGTATTGTGCTTTTAAGTAAAAAACATAAAAAATCTAAATAATCCGATGTATATTGCATGACGTGAACTGCTGTATGACAATGAACTTGATGCCTTGCCATTTATGTAATCAGTGACACCTTCTTGTTCTTTACAAACTTTCTACCAAAGTCTAAACAAAAACATTGAAAACTGCACAAAATTTTTTTAACCCAAGAAACCTAGAAAATAAAAAAAAATTAGTACATTGTTGAAGACAATTAATAAATTGTCAAAGGCAATTAAAAAATCGTGTCACTACCCTTCTCACCCCCCCCCCGGCCAACTACCCTTCTCCCCCCCCCCCCCCTTCTCATGTCAAAAACCTATCCAACTACCTACTGCTTAAACAACTTTCATGCAGACATATATCAACAAAGACAGTTGAAAAATTGAAAGGCCGTTCTTGTTTCTTCTTTAATTTGTCTAAAGTTAAATAAAAAAAATCCTTAACAAATCCACTTTCTTTTTTTTTTTTTTTGCCAGTTAACATAATTTAAGATCAAAAAAGAAAAGAATATAGAAACACCTACTATAGGATACTCTATTTTTTATCACATTAATATTTTTTCAAATATCTTTTTATCTCACACACAAAAAGAAAAATACTATACTCTTATTCCGAAAAAATCTTCTATCCACTGTAAAGTCCTCTATACAAAAAGAGGTGATTCGTGATCATGTACCTTTTAAAAAAAAAAAAAGTGTGGAGAAGGGGGAGGAGGAGGAGGAGGAAGAAATTAAACCCAGAACTCTAATTTTTAGTATCTCAACATTAACAACTGCACTAAATTGATATTACTTTTGCCTTTTTCATTGTGAATGTTACATAACCTATAGTATGAATGTGTGCAATTACAATCCGATGCTGTATCTTTCTCTCTATGTCTTCCCCCATTTCACTTCATTCTTTAACTGGTGAACAACAGGGGGAGTGATTGGAACCAACCTCAAGTGAAAAACTGTGCTGGGCAAACTCGGCCGGTGCCCGGGCCAACATATCCAGGAGTATTGCCACCAGCTTTAGCAGTGCAGAAGAAAGTATTGAGCGAGATGAGGGTTCCTGTGAAATTGCTGGATATAACCACCCTTTCTCAATTCCGTGTAGATGCACATCCGTCCTTTTATGGCGCTGCAACTGCTGCTGCTGACTGCACCCACTGGTGTATAGCTGGACTGCCTGATACCTGGAATCAATTACTATATAATCTTCTTTATTGATATACAGAAAAGAAAGCAAAAAAAAGATATCAGAATTAATCATGGATTTCACACCAAATAGTAGAAAACAAGTACCATACAAAATTCTCTCACTTGGGCTGTTGGTGAGATTAAAGAATCAAACCTTGCCTCCTACCGGCCACTACACCTGGCTTGCCACTTTCAGTGGCTTTCTCCGACGGTGATTTTCGTTGGATACCTAATCAAGAACAATTAACTCACTTCAAGCGAGATTAAGAGGGGTAGCTGAAACCATAACCAACCTTAATTAATCATGTAAATAAGATACAAACTTCATTGTAATTTGCGGGACATAAGATTCCCAGACAAGGAATCTAAGATCCATATATACCAATGATTGCCACTATATATACCGTACCAAAAACAAAGATTGCTGCTTTATTTTCTCAAAGAAGTTCACTAATGACTAAACTACATGAATCCAAAACAATAAAAATTCGTGCACTGTTCGGAATCGAAGCTGTTCTGTGAAAAAAAGAAAAGAAAAGAAACGAAAATTAGATAAAGCTGTTCGTTGCTCAGAAGCCTACACACCTTAAAGACTTGGTTTTCTTTTTCTTTTATAATTTTTTTTTTTTGGTAAAGAACACCTTAAAGATTTGGTGGTATTGTCATTTGTTGCTTCATCATTTTTCTCTACAGTCTGACTCAACCATTTAAATGTTATTATGTTAATTAACTAACTTATTAACATATTCGATTGCCCATAATCCCTTTTCTCTCCTCGAGTGATTACCAGGGTATTTACTCCATCAACTCTTTATAATCTGCTACTCGAAAAATACTAAAACCCCAATGTGTGAAAGCGTTGCTGGTCTCATGCAGATTTGACGGCCGTGCATTCTTGCAAAAGTTCAGGGGAAAGAGCATTTTGTTTGCAGGCGATTCTCTGACCCGTGATCAGTATATGTCCCTGGCCTGCTTGCTCTACACTAGCGTGCCGGGGACAAATTACAACATGACAAGAGTAGGCCTAATCTCCACCTTGAAATTCTTGGTAAGCTTAATCTCTTGGCCTGCAGTCCGCAAATGAATGTCATTATCCACTAATATAAACAAATGAATACATGATTGAAAATCTGAATTGAAAAGTTTTGAAGTGTGGACCTCTAATTCTCCAACTAGTGGATAATGATTGGGAAAACAAAGATACAAGCAAGAAGCGTGTAACAACGAATCAACCAACCAAGTTGGCAAGTTGCTTCAAGCCAACTTTGTCCTGGTTAGGCGAAAATTGTTAAGGTGGTCCTCCTGCAGTCCCTTTCTTTTACTAGTGCAATCCTGCATCTGAAACTTTAGGCAGATTTTTCACCTAGCAAAAACTTTGATCTCTATTCTATGCTGAACAACCTGTAGCTAGCTTCGTGAAAATCAACAATGATAATGATCCCTTATCTAACATGATGGTCCAACAATAATTCAATCATCGTTGACATAATTTTATCGGATTTGACGACCAGTTTTAGATCGAATTGAAACTAACCAGACCTTAACCAGTTTTAGATCACCTGAACTGTACTAAAAAATTCAATCCAACTTCAGAAAGTACCTGTTCCTGCAACAACTTGAACTACTAATTCTGCCGCATCAATTATAATTTTCAATTGTATGTTGTCACAGGACTATGGACTCACACTGATCCTTGATAGAAATGCCTTTCTGGTGGATCTGGTGCCAGAAAAGATCGGTGTAGTTCTAAAACTAGATTCAGTTGCAGGAAGTGAAAAGCTATGGTCAGGTCATGACCTGCTTGCCTTCAATACATGGCATTGGTGGGGCTACAAAGGAGCTCAACAACCGTTAGTTCATGTCCCAACAATTTTGATAATCTTTCTTTCCATACTGTATTTGCGAGCCAAGCTCAAGAATTCTTCAAGCAATTGAATTCTTGAATAACTGTTGAATGTGCAGGTGGAAATATATTCAGATAGGAACAAGGCTCTTGAAAGACATGGACCGGATGGTGGCTTTTGAGACCGCACTTGAGACATGGGCTAAATGGGTGGACACAAATGTAGATCCTGCTAAAACCACCGTTTTCTTTCTTGGAGTTTCTCCATCCCATTACAAGTAAGTGCTCCAAAATATCACTTCTCATTTTCGAGATGAATTATGGAGTATCGTAAAAAACATCCTTCGCTTGCGGGGGCCCCAACCAAAACAAAATGTCTTCTTTGTTGACATGATTAGATAATGCCTTTTAGTCACTGAATTATCTTAGATTTAATTCTCATGTCAAAAACCTATCCAACTACCTACTGCTTAAACAACTTTCATGCAGACATATATCAACAAAGACAGTTGAAAAATTGAAAGGCGGTTCTTGTTTCTTCTTTAACTAGTTTTGTACCCATTCGTTGAATGGGAGTTGTTTAAAAATAATAAATTATTTAGTGTAGTTCATAAAAATATTTGCATAACATTCAAACTTATTGTATGATCTATTATAACCTTTCTTAAATATATTACTATGTGCACATTGTTATTCAAAAATAGTCTTATAATGTAAATTTAAACATCTATTTCAGTGATTAATAATTCAAAAATGCAAAAAAAAAAAAAACATTCGATGATATGATAACATTTAAAAACTTGAAAATAGGCAAGATCAAATCTTGGCTGATCTTCTGTAAACAAAAGAATGGCCAACCCGTTACCAAAACATCAATTTTGGTACTTAATATAAATGGCTTAAAGGTTAATGTGAAAAGAAAAGAAGCCGAATGAAGTATTAATAAAAGATCAGAATTTAGAATCAATCAAGTCATAGGAACACAGTAACCTTCTAAATCTGTTCACAGCTAATAGAAGCAAAATGAAAACATAAGATGTATTGTGCTTTTAAGTAAAAAACATAAAAAATCTAAATAATCCGATGTATATTGCATGACGTGAACTGCTGTATGACAATGAACTTGATGCCTTGCCATTTATGTAATCAGTGACACCTTCTTGTTCTTTACAAACTTTCTACCAAAGTCTAAACAAAAACATTGAAAACTGCACAAAATTTTTTTAACCCAAGAAACCTAGAAAATAAAAAAAAATTAGTACATTGTTGAAGACAATTAATAAATTGTCAAAGGCAATTAAAAAATCGTGTCACTACCCTTCTCACCCCCCCCCCGGCCAACTACCCTTCTCCCCCCCCCCCCCCTTCTCATGTCAAAAACCTATCCAACTACCTACTGCTTAAACAACTTTCATGCAGACATATATCAACAAAGACAGTTGAAAAATTGAAAGGCCGTTCTTGTTTCTTCTTTAATTTGTCTAAAGTTAAATAAAAAAAATCCTTAACAAATCCACTTTCTTTTTTTTTTTTTTTTGCCAGTTAACATAATTTAAGATCAAAAAAGAAAAGAATATAGAAACACCTACTATAGGATACTCTATTTTTTATCACATTAATATTTTTTCAAATATCTTTTTATCTCACACACAAAAAGAAAAATACTATACTCTTATTCCGAAAAAATCTTCTATCCACTGTAAAGTCCTCTATACAAAAAGAGGTGATTCGTGATCATGTACCTTTTAAAAAAAAAAAAAGTGTGGAGAAGGGGGAGGAGGAGGAGGAGGAAGAAATTAAACCCAGAACTCTAATTTTTAGTATCTCAACATTAACAACTGCACTAAATTGATATTACTTTTGCCTTTTTCATTGTGAATGTTACATAACCTATAGTATGAATGTGTGCAATTACAATCCGATGCTGTATCTTTCTCTCTATGTCTTCCCCCATTTCACTTCATTCTTTAACTGGTGAACAACAGGGGGAGTGATTGGAACCAACCTCAAGTGAAAAACTGTGCTGGGCAAACTCGGCCGGTGCCCGGGCCAACATATCCAGGAGTATTGCCACCAGCTTTAGCAGTGCAGAAGAAAGTATTGAGCGAGATGAGGGTTCCTGTGAAATTGCTGGATATAACCACCCTTTCTCAATTCCGTGTAGATGCACATCCGTCCTTTTATGGCGCTGCAACTGCTGCTGCTGACTGCACCCACTGGTGTATAGCTGGACTGCCTGATACCTGGAATCAATTACTATATAATCTTCTTTATTGATATACAGAAAAGAAAGCAAAAAAAAGATATCAGAATTAATCATGGATTTCACACCAAATAGTAGAAAACAAGTACCATACAAAATTCTCTCACTTGGGCTGTTGGTGAGATTAAAGAATCAAACCTTGCCTCCTACCGGCCACTACACCTGGCTTGCCACTTTCAGTGGCTTTCTCCGACGGTGATTTTCGTTGGTTAGGTTTTCCTTTCTCCTAGAATAGGATATTAGTAGGTTATAGAAATGTTATCGTTGTGACAAAAAATTAATTACTGTACAAAATTCTCAACTTTGAAGAATTATATTATCATACTGTACAATACAAAGGAGCACCAGAGAGGCCCCATTCATTCAAAATCAAATGTAATCCAAAGGAGTTCTTGATTTTTATTTTTATTTTTGTTTTGTATGTCAATTATATAGGGAAAGATTTCCATGGTGCTTCACTTTAATTTTTTTTTTTAAATTTTTGTCTATCGCAAATCATGAACGGATTTGGTAATCAATGTAAGCAACTTAGGACCGGAGTTAGTGTTATACTTGTACAGCTTAAAATCATGAAATTTGAGAACTCTTTATTAAAAATAAATAAATATACCTTACCAAAAAAAATTGTTCAGAGCTAAATTTTGGAGACGAGCAATTGAGTACCGGACATTTGGTGCCCCTGCCCGCATTGGTACTACTTTCTTCTTTACTTTTACATTTTAATCACAGTTTTTTATTTTGCTGCCATAAAATGTTACATAAATCTAAATTAGTTTAGTTTTAACTAGCTAAGATTGCTTTCTAACTTCTTCCTAATATGGACTTAACATTTCTTTTAAAGTTACATATATACACCTTGAAATGAGAACTGAAGTTTGTTCACGGGTGTCCATCGGAGCGTTCGTTAAGATATATTTTGGAAATGTAAGATTAATTAGAAAAAAGTAAATAAATACAAGTAACGGAAGGTATGATTAAATAGAGAAAGTATATAAATGTACGGGAGGATAATAATTATTGATATGTGTAATATAATAGTAGATTAAGTGAATTTTAAATTTGTTAATAAGTGTCTTTAAAAAAAACTTGTTTCTTTTTAAATTCATCTAAATTAAACAAAGATGTGTGTGGGAACAATCAATTATATTATTCATACTAAATCTAAATTGTGAGTTGCGGAACAATATTTAATTATTCACATTAAATAATAGATTCTTTGTCTCCACCACAAATATACAATATGTCTCTGTTAACCAAAACGATAAACTTGCCTTGTTTGAATTGCATTTTTCTGGATTTTTTGTAAAAAAATTATTGTAGCGATATGATATATGTGAGGTAAAAATGTGATTGGGAAATATGTTCACGAAAAACGTACCAATTTTTCTTTGAAAAATTGTTGTCCAAACAAGGCCGACCGGTGATGTATTATGTGGCATGTCCTATTAATCTTATAGCGAACAATTATGTTTACAACATTTGAGAATGTTAAGCACCTTAGATTGATTTGGTTTAAGTATCCAAATTCATCTAACCCGGAATAATTAACTATTAAAGAGCTTGTGAATGCTCTCAAAAGATTAAATCTTCAAGACTCTTTACTATTACTGTTAAGGGTTTTCCTAACAGGGTGCCCAATTGACACCGATCAAAACACCTAAATTTTACTCAACCCATTATGTATATATACATACTAATAATTACTACCCTCATTTGCATTTATACATTTTTTATAATTAATCTTATCCTTTTAAAAGTCTAAAACTTGAAATACATTTTAATGAGTCACAATAAGCACTCGTTAGACAGACCCTAATGTTAATTGCTATTGTCCAAACTACTCTGATATGGAGTTATCCAAAAATGTAAGGGTATAATAATTGTAATTTTATATATATATTTAAATGTTAAATTAACTGATCCTTGATAGAGGACCACGGGTTCATTTCACCCTTTATGAACGTAAATATGCGCTATTTTAGGGTCCCAATTGCTTTGCTCTTTTTCACATGACATGACAATTGACACCAAGTTTATTCTTGCAAGCTGCAAGTTGTCAAAGGGACCCATTTCCAAACCAAAAAAAAAAGAATATATATATATATATGTCAAGCGGACAACTCCCTTTATCTAGAACCAAAATTAAAGGGACCCTATTTTCCAAAGCTGTTACACTTCCATTTAGCCATACCTCCCCCAGTTACGAACCTAAAAGCAGAAAAAAGCAAAATGAGCTAATAGGAAATCAAGAAATATATGTCATAGATATGGACGAGGGGCCTCCAGGCAGTTCATGGCCTGGATGAGGCCTCAAAAATTTGTGCAATTCAGATCACGTCTTATAACTCGATTTTCACGCCGTGTGAGACCCACAAAAATGTTGTTCTAGTGTTACTCGCTGTTGTTCTATTGTTACACCTTGTACAGATGATGTTACACCATGTACAAATGATGTTACACCTTCCGGAGCGGTTGTTCTGACAACCGCTCCGGCCCGCATCCCATAGATATACATGTACATGTCCTCCATATAACTATATAAGTGGCTATGTAGAAAGATCACTACAATGTGTGTGTGAGAGAGAGAGAGAGAGTGGGGGCTGCAAGAAGGCAGGAACTTGTGAGTTTTGACATTTCTCTCTTCACTCCCTCTCTCCCTCTGAAGGCATTTTGCTTTTTCTCACTGCCCTGAAGGAATGAATTTTGTCTGGGCTCACGGCAAATTGGCCATGCTGCTCATTCCTCTTCTCCTGCTTCTCGTTCTTGAGCTTCACCAAGCAAATGCAGGGAGCTGTAATTTCTTCCAAGGAAGTTGGGTCCCTGATTCTTCCTATCCTCTCTATAACTACACAGCATGTCCATTCATACAGAAAGAATTCAACTGCTTGAAGAACGGCAGGCCCGACCAAATGTACCTTAAATACCGGTGGCAACCCCTGGACTGCCAATTAGCAAGGTCTGAGCTCTTCTACCTGTGCATATCTCTGATCATTAGTCTTCTTTTCCCATCTTTTATGAAATTTTGGGTGTTTTGTTGCTGTCCCTTTCAGTATTATCATTACAGACCGCTACTACTGTGCAGTGGCTCATTAAGTTTCTGCAGCACCATAAAGCTGCTCAGACTTAGTCTGCAGAATATTAAAACCATATGTGCCATATTTCTTCCTCACAACATATTAAGTAAAGGTCGACCATTTATTAGCTCATCTTAATCCTGCCTTTCTTGTACATCAGCATAGAGAAATGGGGTTGGCATATGCAGTTTGAATCAGTATAACTAATTAAGAATGTAATTACATGGTATTCATGGGATAGTGCTAAGTTCTAAATCTACCTCTAATTGCTTGCACTAATTTTTCTGCCAACTTTGATTAAGTAAGTTAAGATGGCATGTTAGTTTTGAGTTGTTTAGTTAGGCAGATTATGTATGACCCAACTGTCAAGAACCAAATTGTCACTATATGAGTTATGCGCCTCATGTGACCATAAGATTGATTAGGGTAGAAACTTTTTTGTGATTGTACCTCTTATATTGTGTAACACCAATCAAGTGGTAACAGCAATGATCACCTGATGGGAATCTCCAAGAAAACAATTAAACCAATGCTTGACAGCCATTGGCTATAGGATTCTTCTCTCCCTGCATTTACAGAAAGGCAAATAAATTACTATACTAGGTGATTAACAAACTTATATCTACCAGAAGAGTTAGATTAGTGGGACAAAATGAAGGTTATTGTCTAATCTAATTGCATATTACTTGTCAAGAAAAATTACTCATTGATTATAGGTAGAGAACGGTGAGATGGGATCCTTGTGAATTCCGGCTCTTATTCACGTGGGAAGGAAATGAATTAGATAGGTTATTATTATTCATTGAATCACATCTTACAAGGTAGAATGTCTTGTAGCATTATTCCTGTGCCCTATGTTAGCCGCAGTTTTGGAATTCTTGGCTCAATGTGAATCACATACTAAAACATAATCAAGTTTGGTGCTAAACTAATCATAACAATTTGACGACTCTCGGGTCACCAACAACATCACTTTCTTACCTCACTAGCAATTCTTTTTCGGTCCACAATTATCAATTCCACTTCCCTTTTTTATACTTCTTCCCTTGAATATTACTAGCCCGTTAAGTACAAACAAAATGTATTAAAATGAGACCGTTTGGATTGTTATTTTCTAAAATTTTTGTACAAAAATATACTGTAACAATTTTGAATATAAAAGTCGATTCTCTTTAAACACCATGAGTGCTTCGGTCCAAATATTTGATTCAATTTTGCCATGTTTTTCTTAATGTCATTCGTGATTCATAATGTGACATTGTTGGTTGCAGATTTGATGGTCGTGAGTTCATGCAGAAATTCAAGGGGAAAAGCGTCATGTTTGTCGGTGATTCATTGAGCCTAAACCAGTGGCAATCACTAATTTGCATGCTTTACACCTCCGTCGGTAGGACAAAGTACAATGAAACCAGAGTAGGAGACGTCTCCATTTTCACCTTCATGGTAATTGCTTGATTCACATGACATATTCAATTGCAGCATTTTGCTTTCTTGAAAAATTCAAAGTTTTTCAATTATATCTTGAAGTTTTCCAATTGGATAGGATAAGCTCTTATTTTCACGAAACAAATTTGGTAAATTACCAATTTGACTGAATGAATTAATAATTATCATCCATCATCCACAATTTCAATAATGATTTCATTGATGTAAAAATGAATTTGCCCATCAGATAATTTGGGGTTTCTTGGATCGACTCATGTGTGTATAAGAACAGTAATAGGAGGTACTGGTACAGATCAAGATCAAGGAATGTCCAATGTCACGTGAAATTCTATTTTGACTAAAGGACCTCAACAATACTAAATTGAGAAAATAAAGGAAACAAGAAATGTTGTGGTCCTCCATCCCAAGTCCAATATGAACAGTTGGTCTTCTGGATATGACTGCAAGAATTGATTTAAATCAGACATCAATTACAGAAGAAAATGCTGGCATTGCCAGATGGGTCTTTTTCTTATCACATGCTTGTCCCATAACCCTTGGCTATTAATATAGGTGCCAGAAACCTCATATTAAATCAGTTAAATGCCCATATTAAATATAGGTGCCAGAAACCTCTTATTAAATCAGTCAATTATTAACTTGTAATAATATGCGGTTGTGGGATGAATTTAATTCCTCAGAATTTTAATCTTTATCCCAAGCTGACAACCCCTTTAAATTTGTCTCCTTTTGATTAAGTGAGGTTTCCAATTTAGCAACAAAAAAAAAAATTGTGATGTACAGAACTTGGGACTTAGAATGTGTACTAATCCAGAAAATTTCTTGGAGTGTATGTCTTGTGGCGACATGTATTTATCGCCTTGGAACCCGTTTGGATTGTTTTTTTAGGAAATTTTATAGAAAAATATACTGTAATGATTTGATGTATGTAAGATAAAACGGTAATTGAAAAACAGGCTCACGGAGAATCCAAAAATTTTTTGGTGGAAAATTGCACTCCAAATTTAAAGGAAATTTGCATTTTCCTTATTTTTGCAGATTACAATAATTTGATACATGTAAGGTAAAAAAGGCAAATGAAAATGTGTTTACGGAAAACCCAAAAAAATTTTGGTGGAAAATAGCGATCCAAATTTAAAGGAAAGTTGCATTTTCTTTATTTCTGCAGTGAATATTCATTTTAGCCAACCTCTCATGTGATTGCTAATCATATTTTAATTATTTTTAAGTGTTGTTTTTGAATCACATTTGGATTTTTTTTCCCTTGGTAAATACATGTATGTTGCAGGATTTTGGAGTAAAAATTATGCTAGACAGAAATGTGTACCTGGTAGATGTTGTGATGGAAAAAACTGGCAGGATACTAAACCTAGATTCAATTGAGGGTGGAAAGCTGTGGAAAGGCTTAGACGTAATAATCTTTAACACATGGCATTGGTGGAACCGTAGAGGTGAAGGACAACCGTAAGTTCATACAATATACTCCATGGTGTTCGACTATTCTGTGATAAATGATGAGCAAACACAAAACATTGATGAAATTTATGTCATTTGTGAAAATATACTGCTCAGATGGGATTACATTCGAGTTGGAAATCAGACATTCAAAGACATGGATCGGATGGTTGCCTTCGAGATGGCACTCAATACTTGGGCTAAGTGGGTGGATGACAATATTGATCCTGCCAAAACTACTGTTTTCTTCCAAGGAATTTCTCCCTCACACTACAAGTAAGTATTTCTAATGGAAATCCCAGAAGAAGCTGCCAAACATATGCATGTATCAGTTTAGAAATTTCAGAAATCTTGATTTAGCTTTACTAAGTAATTTACGATTTTGCCAATTGAGTAGCATATTTTGGAGGGTCATAGTCTAAAAATGCAGTCTTGAATTTGTCACTTTACATTCTTAATCTAACTATCTTGTTTTGCCAATTGAAAACGGTCTTTGATTAATAATGTAAAGTGGAACTGATTGGAATGAACCGACGGCCAAAAGTTGCGTGAGACAGAAAGAGCCGGTGGTGGGCTCAAGATATCCAGCAGGACTACCACCAGCTCTAACAGTGCTAAAGAGAGTACTCAACACAATAAAGAAGCCAGTGAAATTGCTGGATATTACAAACCTTTCGCTGCTGCGAAAAGATGGACATCCTTCTATTTATGGGCTTGGCGCAGCCACTGGGGGAATGGACTGCAGCCACTGGTGTCTTCCTGGAGTTCCTGATACCTGGAATCTGCTACTCTACAATCTTCTTATTCTTTGATTACTTCAGTAGCCATTAGCCATTTTGATATCATATCATTCTTACTACAATAAATTTGGACTAAAAATTAATAGTAGAAATACAAGTTTGATTGAACATGATCATGCAAGAACGTCTATGTAATGTTGCTATTCTATGCAAACATACAGTATATTTCATGGAGAAGTAGAACTAGTTTTTTAGTTGAATTGATTGAGTCACATTTGGATAATTTGTTTTCTTCCTTACTTAGATGTTACATTATGTAGTCTACGTATGCATGGGACCAGTGAAAGTTACTGCAATAATGCTCGGTGGGTATGACTTGACAAAAGATTAGCATCATATTTGTCTTTTGCAAATTTTAGTAGATATCTCCTTTTTTTTTTGGTGATCGGATGTTCATATATCAATTCATTACGGTACATTTTTTTTATTTAGATAGTCAAATATCCCTTTTTTTGGTTTGGATTGTTATTTTTCTCAAAAAAATTTTCGTAAATTCATTTTTTTACCTCACATACAGCAAATCATTATAGTATATTTTTCTATAAAAACTCCATAAAACAGCAATCCAAACGGTGTAGTTAGTCGTTTCCTAGCTACTTCTGCCATTTTTCCCCCCTCCATGAATATTATTCAACACCGGGGGTTTCATTACGGGTCAAACCACAAACAGCATATTATATGCCTTCGTAATTAGGAGAAATATGGGACCCCATTTTCATGTTAAAGTGTAACAGTCAAACTTCTGGCTAATGTAACAGGCAAAATTATGATCAAACAAAAGTATGTAAAAGAACTACAGAAACAATAAATGTGGTGTCAAATTAACTAGCTTTAAACTGAATAATGAAGAAACAGAACAGGAATATAACATTAACTTCACAACTTTAAGGTTTCGAACCCGTTACCTTCCAGACGAAACCGATATTAATTGTCATCTGTTTTTTATCTTAGCGATGTTGTTGCCATTGTTTCAACAAGCTTTGGGCCTCCCTTGTTTCTTTGAGCAAGCAAACCGGAAATAGAGGAAAGAAGGCTTTCCGTAGAAGACTAGATTTGAAACTGAAACAATCATGGAGGAGGAATGATGGATAAAAAGGAGTATACTCCACTGCAAGGACACAGCTCCCACCAATAAGTTCAGCTGCCAAAAGGAGCAAAACAGGCTGGGGAATCAACCCCAAACCAATAAAAAAAAAAAAAAATTGCAGATTTCCCCTCCCCAAGCCATTCAATCTAACAACTCAAACACCACCAGGCACCAACTAACAGCCTATCAAACTCATCTTATATGGCCTTTGTTTTCTTCATTAAAAGCTTCATCATGCTGCATTCTCCCTTAAGTTCCCTCACCTCATCTCACTCCTTTTCTTCTCACAAGATGGGAAGTGGTCAATTTCGTTCTGTGAATACTTTTCTTCTAATTATATGTCTTTTTGTCATATTTGTTCAACAATCATCCAATGCCTTGTTGCTAGAGCTTTCTCATAACTCTAAGAGATCATCAGAATCAATTAGCAGCGGCTGCGATATCTTCCAAGGAAGTTGGAGCTACGATGACACATATCCCCTTTACAATGCGTCTTCTTGTCCATTCATCGAGAAGCCATTTGATTGCCAGGGAAATGGCCGCCCTGATCAACTCTATCTCAAGTTCAAATGGAAGCCCAACCGATGTGAATTGCCTCAGTACGTTTCATTATAGTTTACGGTTTGTAGAATAGTATACCCAAGGAGAAAGGGATATCTTTTGTTGTAAGAGTTAGCACAGTTGGTAAGGCGTTACGTGCACTAAGCACAAAATAGATGTTGAATTTTAAATCCTCATCCCATCCCGGCTTGATGATCGCCAATTCCAAAAAACCCAAAAAAAAAAATTTAATGTTTCAACTATAAAAGTGTTTTATTTTTGTGGTGATCACATTTAGTACCATTTTTAAGTTTGACATTTAATTTGATAATTAGATAAGGAAGGCCAAGAATGTAACCTTCATGTTTTTTTTTTTAAATGCAGATTTAATGCTCCACATTTCTTGAGGAAATTTAGAGGGAAGAAGATATTGTTCGTAGGGGATTCACTGAGCCTCAATCAATGGCAGTCCCTTGCATGCATGTTGCACGCAGCTCTGCCCCAATCAAATTACAATCTTCAAAAGAAAGGCAACCTCTCTACTTTTACTTTCAGGGTGAGTTTCTCTGATTTTATGTAGGCTCATCTATTAATTTTTGATCTCATGCATGCCTTTTTAGCTTTGATCATTTAGTGCAAGAAAAGCAGACTCTTCCATTGATTAATTAATTAATCCACATTACGTGAATGATGGCAGGAATATGATGTTTCTTTGATGCTATCTCGTAACGCATTTCTGGTGGATTTGGTGGAAGAGAATAACAGAAGAATTCTGAAGCTTGACTCCATACAAAATGGGGATGCATGGAGGGGTTATGACGTGCTTATTTTTAACACTTGGCATTGGTGGCTCCACAAAGGAAGATCAAGATCGTGAGATTGTGCTACCAATATTCTTCAATTAATGTTTAATGTTCTTGAGAAACCAAACCTTTCTGTTTCGACAAAAATCTGGGTTTTATTCAAGATCAATCTCTATATGGTTTTTAAATCCCAACTCGTAAATTTCAAAAATAAGAAACAAAAACACCATGAATCTTGTTTTTTTTCCTCCTTGGTAACGACTTTGTTTAGGAATACAAGAGTGCAGACCGATTTACCATCACTAGACATTGACATGCATAATTATAGGATCAAATCTTGGTAACAATTGATTAAGATACATTTTGGAAAGGAAAATGCCATCATTGTTAGCAAGAAATTCAACTATTTTCAACATTGCAACAGCTTGTGAAGTCAACCCCTTCGGTATTTTTATAAAAAAAAAAAAAAAAAAAAAAAAAAGAAGTAGTGTATGTTCTTACTAGTGTATTTTTTTAAAAAATTTTTTAGTAAAAAAAAAAAAGAGAGATTTTTACTTACTGGTCTATTTTGGATGTCAGGTGGGATTATTTTCAAGAAGGAAACAAACTTTATAAAGACATGGATCCTTTGGTTGCATTTGAGAAGGGCCTGAAAACATGGTCCAGGTGGGTGGACTCTAACGTGGCTCCTTCCAAAACCCAAGTCCTTTTTCAGGGCATCTCTCCAACCCATTACGAGTAAGCCCTTCTTCCCTAACAAACAAAGAAGTCCACTATTGATCAGAGTGTAGTCCAATGGGACTTGTTCAGTCGTTCTGACTTGAAATTATTTATTTGCTTGATTTTAGATTTTAATTTTGAATCATTAATATTTTTGATGTTCTTATTTTTTTTAACACCTACAATTTAGAATTTTTGATAGAAATAAAAAAAAAATTTTAAAAAAAATCTAGAATGGCTTGAATTGATTCTGATCATTTTCTATAATCACTTTCTGTATGTAATCAGCATTTGCAAAATAGAAAACAGACCAAAACAAGCCTTCATTTTGCCCCCTTACTTCTAACTTCTACTAAGATTAATGAAATGACATATTCATATTATCTTCTCTTTATTTCCTCCTTCATATTGTATGGTATTATAGTGGCAAGGAATGGGATGCTCCAATAGCAAAATCTTCATGCATTGGGCAAACTCGGCCGATCCTGGCTCCTGAATACCCTGCCGGACCACCACCACCTGCGGCGGTGGTGAAGAAAGTACTGGCTAACATGTCCACCCCGGTGACTTTGCTAGATGTAACCACACTTTCACAGCTAAGGAAAGATGGGCATCCTTCAATTTATGGTGATGGCCCTGATAGCCATGAAGGAAAGGATTGCAGCCATTGGTGTCTACCTGGTGTTCCTGATGCTTGGAATGCACTATTGTATGGAATCCTTGTGAGAAATGGACAACTAAAATGACAGTTGATTCATTCATTGATTCAATTAATGCAGCTATCTAGTGAAGAAAAACAAACTATTGTTGAATTTTATCCTTTTCTTTTTGGATAGAATAATATTATTTGTTTTTATTTGGTTGAAGCTAATGGTGACTCTTGTACGTGACAATTGCAATCAAAGGAGCATATATTTGCCCTTTCGCCTGGTAATCAGTACAAGGCAAAAAGTCAGAATTTTAATAGAATTTGATACTCTTCTGATTCTCAAATTAGACAACTATGCCTCAAAAATTAACAGAATTCTCTAATAAAAGCAAGAAGTTAGTGGATGAAATGAAAATCCATCTTTCTGGAAAAGTTCATTACAAGAAGTTTGACACTTGAATAAGGCAAAATGCCCCTTCTAGATACATAACCACTGGATCTGCTCTGTCCATTTTTTCAGTCATTTGCATCAATTGAAGTGATCACTTCCTAATATTTAATTGATACTATCTCAATGATGAATTGTTTGCTATTCATTATTAAATAGATGAAAGCTCAGGTTTCCTTGAATTATTGCTAATATATAGAAACATGCCACATAATATCCACAATCTATTTTTGTAAGCTGCATGGCATCCAAGCCTCCTAGGAAACTGTAAAGGACATACTACTAAGAACAAACTTCCACACCCTGTAAACACTTGGCATTTAGGAGATGCCTTAATTGCTGCTACTTATTTTAATAATAATAATAATAAAGTTTCGTTACTCCGTCAGAATTTAACTCTCTCTCCATAAAGGACAAACTTTACCGAAATGGGTACACATGCTTCTCGCTGCAAAATTGTGGTACTCCTTGTTACATTTCTGTCTAACCAATCAAATGTGGAATGTGAAGATGAACAAGGAACACGGTCAGAAAGCTGTGATCTTTTCAAGGGAAGTTGGGTTCTTGATGATTCATACCCGCTTTATTATGATGCATTGAGCTGCCCCTTCATCGATCCTGGGCTCAATTGCCAGAAAAATGGCAGACCTGATAGTATGTACCTAGAGTACAGATGGAATCCGATTGGTTGTGAGCTTCCAAGGTAATTGAATATATCCATTTAAGCTGCCAAGATTGATTGCATGTAGTTTAGCTGTATTTGCTAATATCTTTCATGCCCCACATTCCAGAAGTTCAAGAACGTGAAACTTTGTTCTCTTTTTGTTTCTTTCTGTCCTTTTCTCCAAAAGCTGCTGAAGTTTTTCCTCTGTTGTTTATTAATGTCAATCTGCTAACATTCGAAGAGGGATGCTTGTGAATTTTTTTTTTTTTTGGTTAATAGTATATCTTGCTATGGCGTTTTTGTTTGTTGGGCTGATAATGATGATGAGGACAACTTGGCACAGGTTTGATGGGCAAAACTTTCTGCAAAAGTTCAGGGGTCAGAAAATTATGTTTGTGGGGGACTCTTTAAGCAATAACCAGTGGCAGTCACTAGCCTGCATGCTGCATTTTGCAGTCCCGAGTTCTAATTATACCTTAGTGAGATCTGGTGGAGGAGCACTCTTAAATCTTTCTTTTCCGGTAGGTTGGCAACTTACTGTGGAAAGAGCAATATAATCTGATGAAATTCACTCAACTTAACTTGGCATGAGATTTTAGCCCCACTTTCACTGATACTCTGTTTTTACTTGTGGAAGGAATATGGGCTGTCGACAGCGTTCTTGAAGAATGGATTTTTGGTGGATTTGGTGGTAGAGGAAGTAGGCCGAGTTCTAAAGCTTGATTCATTAAGTAGAACTCAGCACTGGAAAGGGGTTGACATTCTGATTTTCAACAGCTACCACTGGTGGATACACACAGGAAGACTTCAAACGTACAGTTTTATATTCGACTGGAATTATTGAAAACGACTTTGAAATCCGATGAAACAGGGAAATCTTAATTCGAGTACCTTGATTCTTTGTTGCAGATGGGACTATTTTCAAGTTGGTGAGAATTTGATCAAGGACATGGATCGCATGGAGGCATACAGGATTGCCTTGACAACATGGGCCAAGTGGATCGATTCCAATATAGATCCTGGCAAAACTAAAGTTTTCTTCCAAGGAATTTCTGCTGTTCACAATCAGTAAGCTCCAATACTCCTCCTTGTAAAATATTTGGCTTGTCTTAGTTTTAACATTTTTCAGAATATGTTTCTGACTTGTTGCTGGGAATTATATCCAGTGGGAGTGAATGGAATGAACCAGCAGTGCAGGACTGCAGGGGACAAACTAAGGCAGTAGAAGGAGCAGACTACCCAGGCCAACATTATCCAGGGGAAGCAGTGGTTAAGGATGTACTAGGTAACATGACCAAGCCTGTCTACCTGCTAGATATAACATTGCTTACTCAATTAAGAAAGGATGGACATCCATCAAACTATGCAAATGGGGCTCTTGATTGTAGTCATTGGTGCCTTGCTGGAGTTCCAGATACCTGGAATGAACTCCTGTACGCAATGCTGCTAGAGAGCTAAGTGTAATTTTCCTAGAACATCCCAGTATACCAAACTCACTTTGCGTGAAAATCTTGAACTACAGAATGCACATTTCGGCATGCCATTAACTCATTGTTTCGTCAGAAAGGGGCAAGGATGGTTTTCAGTTGCAATCTAGTTTTCGATCACTGACAGAACCGAAATAACTTCTCAGGCAAAATAGAACGAGCTCCCTGTTTGATAGGAATAAATATTTGGCCATCCTGTCCACTTTGCATGTGAATTTTATTAAACTTAACAGATATCATCAAAGCTGTTTTTCTTTTCCTTCATCACCTGGTAAAGAAAGGGAAAATCATTGCTGAATGGAATGGAACTGTTGATATAACTCCTTGACGTGATTTTACCCACGTGTCATGACCGTGTGTATGCAAATAGGCATCAGACATTTTGTTTTTAGAGAATCTTTCTCTCAAAGCTTCAAAGCTAATTAAGAGAAGTATGCTGTATAAGTACCCAATTGAATCTGGTTAATACATCAGTTAGACAAATGAAACCTACAAAATGACCTCCAAAAAAGGTGAAATTTTAATTAGATGCTTCAGATAGAACTGACGAGTTGCTGAACCAAAAGAAGCAGAAGGTAAACTGACAGCTGATCACCTGATAGATTTGGATACCATCTACTTCTGTATCCTTTTGTCCCTTATGGGCAAGTCAACGGGTTTTTGTGCCTCGTGAGGATGGTTTGGGCCTTTATATACTTTCAGATGATTGAATAATGCTCTTCCGAGCTGCATATAGAACAAAGAATGTGAATAATTAATGGCACACATAAGATGGGATAAGCAACAAGTGATTGTTATCTGTGAACTTTATATTGAGCGCAGTTACTCACCCGCCCTTTTGGAAGCATGCCACGGACTGCATGCTCAATGATTCTTTCAGGAATTCTCTTTTGAAGCTGATCAAAGGTTTCCACTTTCATCCCACCAGGTCTCCCTGAATGCCTTCTGTAAAGCTTTTGGTTCCTCTTCTTGCCAGATACGGCTACCTTTTCAGCATTAACCTTTGACATATAAATAGAACATAAGTGCTCACTTGAAGGAATAAGGCAAGGCATTCAGGTTAAGCCATCATAGTAATGTCCTTGGAGACAATTCAAAGACATTAAACAACTATGTCAAAATGTGGACAGTTACACGAAATTACAGGAGAAAACATATCCCACTACAGACTAAAAAATATCAGCCATATAGGCGACACATGCTTTGTCCTGGATAGAAATTTGGGGGAAAAGACAACCTCTTCCCCAACACCATTTCAAGCAGCCAGAAGAATCCCTTGCTTCCATCACCTTTAGTTTTCCCAAATATAATGCTTTAGTTTGACTAAGCACAGTATTGAGAAAGTACTGAAGAAAGAAAAAATGTTCAAAATAGAATGAGAAACATGCGAGGATCATTCTATAACTTAATGTACATATGGGAAAAACCAGGAGTTTTCCATGACAACCCACACCAGAAAGAGGTTGGCGGCCAAGAATTAGCAGAACTTAAAACACACAGAAACTCCAGAGTATAAAGTAAGCATACCACTATGACAAAGGCTCCCATGTCCACACTAGGAGTATAAGTTACTAGATTCTTCCCTCTGATATAGATAGCTATAGTTGAAGCTAATCTGCCAAGAATTTTATCAGTCGCGTCAACGATGTACCAGGGTTTATCAGTATTTACATGATCTGCAGCTTTGGGATACCATGTTGTGTTCCAAATATCCTGGACAAGTAGAAAGAGAACAAATGGTTATCAAATTCTCGGTTAAGCACGACATGGGACATCTATATGCTCTTTCCTACAGAATCAACAATCACACTGCATCAGAAAGGCACATATGTAGATGAAATATTAACACTTTTCACCCAGTACTTCCAATACCAATTTGCAAGTGAGAAAATCTATTAGAAGACACACGATCAATGGAGAATCATTAAAGAAACGAATGATGCCTACTTAGTGAGTCAAGATGAGAGACCAAGTATACGACTTCGAAAACAGTCAATATCACATATTATGGAATCAAGTTCTAATTGCAAGGAAGCCATTCTCTTTAGACAGTAAACAAAAGAGTGGAGCTTTCTCAGTAACGTACTAATTCGAATGCGGCAAAAAAATTGGACTGAAATTTACCCAATATGGTCCTGAAATCGCATGCTGAACGATAATTACCATAATGGTGCCAAGGTGGAGCATAGTTCTCTTCTTTTTACTTCTTTCACAGAAACATTAGATTGTTGAATGTCTTTCCCATAACTAGTAAAGTTCGATAGATACGGGCACAGGGGAAAACAAAACTCCCTACTTCCAAATGGTGCTATAATAACTTCCAAGGTCCTTCCCATACAAGAAGGTGCAAGCTGCAAATCTTCTTACATAAACATCCCAAGTTTCTAACAGGAAAATATCATCTAGCAGAAATGCGACAGTTGATGAGATACATCTTTTCTATTTCCTGGTAATTAAACTAACTTTTGGCATTTAACTTCCTCAATACACGAATCCAACAAGGGATTCTATACCCAGTGCAAAATACGAGTCTCAGAAATCACTCTCCATACTGAGTTTATCCAATTATCCACCATCTATATCGTCCCTAAAACAACTTAAAAGTTGCAGATTTTTAAAATAGTAAAAAATGTGGTAACATCTCATTGCTGCACAACAGCTAGAAATTTACTC